TAATTGAAGTAAGAAATGACAGCAATTTAAAGTACTGTACTGTGAGCAAATGATGAGTCATATTTTACATTTCAAGCATTAGTTAAGACTGATAATTCTAAGTTCCTTGTAAATTATCAGCCATATTTTGAAGCAGATAGTTCAAAAAGATGATAATTATTATTAAAACTCTTCTTATAAGTGAAGTTTTATAAGTTTAATTTGTTTTGGGACTTGCTAATTCTGAAAATGTTAGATGATGTTACAATATCTTAATTATAATAAGCAGATTTTACTGAAAAAATTATGCCATTATCAGTCCTTGAAATATCAGACTAAATATACTAGGCTGAACAAATAGAATTAAATTAAAAAATATTCATAAATATAATATTTTTTTAAGGATAAGAAAAATATAAATAAAAGTTTCCAAAGAGTTTTCATTTTCTTTAAAAATATAATGTAATCAACACAATTATTTTAAACACAGTATTTTATATACTCTGAATTTAAGAAATAACCAACTAACCTATGTTTGTGTTGTACAGCTTAATGACTTTCATCACTGTTGTTCATCCATTTATTATTTTCCAAGTTTTCAGTAAAATGCTATTGAAATGAAGACTTATTTAATTTAGAAATTTATGTATTGTTGCATTACTGCTTTATTAGAATTACATATATTAGCAGGCCCGTGAAGATAGAAATTTGCCATTAATGGACCAAATCTCTCATCTACAATCTGTACCATATTTGGAGTGTATATTTACCAGTATTTTGATTGATATTTGCCACAGTTTATTGTTAAGTGACTTAGTTGATGTTATACTATTATAATACTAGGGAGATTGTTGTGTGTAGATACAGGGTGAGTCAGAAATTCCTTGCATGCTTTTCATTCCAAAAGTGCTAAAGATATATTAATCTTAAGTGCTTGTGGAGTGAAAAATGTGCAAGGGACTTTTGACTCACCCTGTATATGTATATATGAATTATCTATAGAAGAATGAATGAAAGATTTTGTAACTTTGTGGATAAATTAGTTTAGCTGAAACTGGAGGATATAATTGAGAAATTAAAAAAATGTGGTAGTAAAAATTATACTTTGAAGCTGCAGGCTACAATCAATATGACACATCTGTTACATGTAAAATTATAAATTATATAAAACTATAATCTAACAATATAAAAATATGTAATTATAATTTTAGCATTATCTTATTCTTAAAATCAAAACAATACAATAATTTTTAATAAATTTTTTGTAATATTTTATATCTTTTTATCTTATAATTGAGTAACAGTCATTCTTTGAGTCATTCAGTCAATTCATGCTTTATTGGAGCACAAGAAAATTTAAGTAATTCCTAGTAATGCTTTTTCATTTCTCTTCAAGACTCATTTGATATGAACTCTTCTCAAGTGTCAACTGCTGCTCACAATTTAAATTAAATTTTTGAATGTATATGAAGAATTGGATATTAAAATTGGCATAAAATTCAAGTTTATAAAATTCTGTAAAATGTTTTAATTATCAGTCTTATTGTTTAAGCAACTATTTTTACATTTTAATTAAGTTTTCCTTATGTTTTCTTATGTTTTGGCATTTTTTTCAAATATTTTAATAGACTGTATTTATATATTTATTATTTGCTAGTAATGTAAGTCAAGCATACCAGCATATCATCATTAATTGATATGTTTTTAATAAATGTATGCTGTATTAATCTAGTTCTTTAAAGTTAATTTTTTAACTATTTATTTTTGTACATTGATGAGGGCTAAAGTATTCAAAATATATTTTCTGCTATGTGTAAAATAATTTAAAATAAACAAGACATATGAAGATAACATTGTTTATTTAGTAGTTATTGATGATAAAAATGTATGATTTTTCATTTACAGTTTTTTCTAGGCAAAAGATGAATTTAAACATTTTCCAGCATCTTAAATTAATAATTTTGTGAATTCAAATATTTCTTAACATTTGACAGATGCAAAAATGAAAAACTTTTCTCAAAATGATCAGACAGATGTGAGTTTTGAAGAATTATTAGAACAATACAGGCAAATTAAATTCCTTTTAAAGGATTTGAATGAGGAAGAGGAAAAACGATTAGATGAAAATAAAGTAGACGAAAAATACTTCAAATATACAGATGGAGAAAGTGGTAACAAAGAAAATCGTCATAAAAGAAAGTTATCAGTCTCAAGCAAAAGATGTAAACAGTCAGTTGATCATTCTGTGGTAAGTAGTGATGTAGTTGTGATTTTGATATGAACTTTAAGATATCTGGAATTTTTATTTAAATTAAAAATTTTTAATGGAAATTATTTTAATGCTTTAAACGTATTGTTAATGTATTACTATTTTCTGCTATTTTAACATAATTGCTTTTATAGGACCATTATTCTTGAGATTAAGGAAGGACAGACAGTCTGATGGATGACAGTGGGAATTTATAAGTCTACAATTGCTTCCCAAAAATTATTTGAATATTTAATAAGAACCTTTCATTAACATGTGCAAGACAGCTGCATTACAAATGGTTAATAAACCATATTTGCCATTATAAATTGTTTTGAAATTCAAACAAATCTTAATTTTTTTGATCAGTTAGGATTGCTCAAGCCTCTATTGGATCTCCTTGACTAAAAGTTTTGTAATGTTAGTCTAAATGCTTAAATATTAAGTGAAAATATAAGAAATATACTTGCCAGAAATTGAAAATGTGAAAATTTATATGAGTAACAAGTATTTTATTGCTTTATTAATTACCAAATTAATTAATATGGTTGTGTATTGGTAACAGTCAGATAAGCTCTGAAAGCAGTTTAATGGTAAAATATCCCAATATCAAAAGCATTATTCTTTGGAGATATTTGTCAAATGATCAATCATTTGAATTTTCTCACTCTTTTTATGTCTTTTAGTCTTTGAAATATTATTGATTCACAATTATCAATTTGATAAGTTATTCCAATTAGTCTGTTGATTATATCAGTTTCCTACTTCTCCACCTGTTCTTTCAACATTATTAGTCCATCTTTCAGTAGGGGATCACTTTTTTAGATTTGATTTTGTTTTATAACCAGATGGTTGTTTTTTGCTTGTACTGTAGTGATGACTGACTGATAACATAAAGAGCAATAAGTAAATAAGACTCCCAATTAGTATGAATTCTGGTTATATTGACTATGATATCATAACACTTGTTAACTTGTTAAAACAAATTGTAAAAACTGTATAACTTGAATATTTATTTATTATAATTATTAATATTGTATTATTAATTAATAATAATTTGTTTTTGCAATCAGTAACATCTTTAACAACAACTAGCATATAATTGAAGTAAGAAATGACAGCAATTTAAAGTACTGTACTGTGAGCAAATGATGAGTCATATTTTACATTTCAAGCATTAGTTAAGACTGATAATTCTAAGTTCCTTGTAAATTATCAGCCATATTTTGAAGCAGATAGTTCAAAAAGATGATAATTATTATTAAAACTCTTCTTATAAGTGAAGTTTTATAAGTTTAATTTGTTTTGGGACTTGCTAATTCTGAAAATGTTAGATGATGTTACAATATCTTAATTATAATAAGCAGATTTTACTGAAAAAATTATGCCATTATCAGTCCTTGAAATATCAGACTAAATATACTAGGCTGAACAAATAGAATTAAATTAAAAAATATTCATAAATATAATATTTTTTTAAGGATAAGAAAAATATAAATAAAAGTTTCCAAAGAGTTTTCATTTTCTTTAAAAATATAATGTAATCAACACAATTATTTTAAACACAGTATTTTATATACTCTGAATTTAAGAAATAACCAACTAACCTATGTTTGTGTTGTACAGCTTAATGACTTTCATCACTGTTGTTCATCCATTTATTATTTTCCAAGTTTTCAGTAAAATGCTATTGAAATGAAGACTTATTTAATTTAGAAATTTATGTATTGTTGCATTACTGCTTTATTAGAATTACATATATTAGCAGGCCCGTGAAGATAGAAATTTGCCATTAATGGACCAAATCTCTCATCTACAATCTGTACCATATTTGGAGTGTATATTTACCAGTATTTTGATTGATATTTGCCACAGTTTATTGTTAAGTGACTTAGTTGATGTTATACTATTATAATACTAGGGAGATTGTTGTGTGTAGATACAGGGTGAGTCAGAAATTCCTTGCATGCTTTTCATTCCAAAAGTGCTAAAGATATATTAATCTTAAGTGCTTGTGGAGTGAAAAATGTGCAAGGGACTTTTGACTCACCCTGTATATGTATATATGAATTATCTATAGAAGAATGAATGAAAGATTTTGTAACTTTGTGGATAAATTAGTTTAGCTGAAACTGGAGGATATAATTGAGAAATTAAAAAAATGTGGTAGTAAAAATTATACTTTGAAGCTGCAGGCTACAATCAATATGACACATCTGTTACATGTAAAATTATAAATTATANAATAAAAAATTATACTTCAGATGTTAATTTAGTATCAAAAACGTAAAATATTTGAGTAGCCCAAGACATAGCCAAAGATTGAAGCGACACAGCACTGTCGAAAATTTAAGTTTGCCGACTGGAATTCTTTCGGATGATTGACTTTCGGAAAATCGACGCTCTACTGTATATGAATCTCACATTTAAGAAGATATATATTTTTAAAACTCTTTTCGCCCTATGGATACTAAAAGGGTCTCTTTTAGCGAGCCCATTATGGATTTGGCCAGGCCCACAATGGGGTGAGGGACGAGGCCCAACATATCCGGACGGTTTGTTTGTTTTTAAGTTATGGCAACGCAACACTTGTACGATCTGCCTGGGCGATGCCTTACGGGAGGTCTTTTTAAGAGAAACTGGCCACAATTTAGGCATTACAGACGTGGAGAAAACACTACCGAACTCCCAGCTTTCAAGGAACGAAGACCGCTTGGCCACTGGTGGGCCACATATCCGGACGGACCAAATACAATAAGATAATTACAGAAGAGAAAGATGATAAATTTAACATGAAGTAAAAATCATTTTAATTTTATATTTTATTAAATAAGTAAATAAAATCAAATATCTATAAATAAAGTTATATTTTACAATTCGTATTAAAATTAAAATACTGGATGGCAACACTTCATCGAAAACAGTTTTCATTTTGTAGCGAAATTAGGTTCGATGGAATGTTGATAATATTTCGCCATAAGTTGAATCATTTAAACAGGGTGACGTTATCATCATTAAAATTAAGATTTCGAACGACCAAAAAGGATAATGTGAAAGTAAAGGGACGTTTCTTGCATATATAACTCCAATAAATATAGTTAAAAAAAATGGAAAATTCCCAAAGCAAGAAGGAAGAAAGCGAATTGGAAGAAGGTGAAATAAGTGAAGATCAAGATGAGAAATGTAAAAATTCTCCTCTATCTGCCGTTAATGATCAAGGAGATTCTTCAAATAAAAAGGTCGAATCGAATTCATTTGTAAATAAACCACCTTTTGGACCAAAAAGACCTCAATATTTATTAAAACAAGGTTATCGCAATAGAAATCAGTTCTTTGGATTTAAAAATGTACCCAGTTTTTATGGTTCAAGAGATTCTTGTAGTAGGTTTAATACTGCGACTGGTAACTTACAGCCTGTTATTAGACGTCCTTACTTTGCCAATAACAGGATTAGATTTAAACAAATGCCTAGAAATTATCCCTCGATACCTTACTTAAATAAGAGAAGATTGCCAAAATTTTGTGACACACATGGACATGCTAGTAGTATCCTTTTTTTGTATAAAATGTTAGGTTGATATCTGTTTAATTTTATTGCTATATGATAAGTATTAAAAGAATAATTATTTGAGTAATCATGTTAGTAACTTTATAAAAGGTAAGTGAGGAGTTGTATAAAGATTTTGTCATTTTAATGTACGAATTAGCAAGATTTTCTCTTTTGCAGGTTATTATTGGTACCGTGCAAAAGTTTATCATTCAAATAAATGGTTAAAGTCCAGATATGTATACTGTCATGGTGGCTCATCTCTGATTCCAGCAAACAAAAGAAAGGAAACAGTGGGGGACGCACGTTCTAACCTAACCTAACCTAACCTAACCTATTCTAATAAATTACTATAATTATTACCAATCAAATTATTAGAATAGGTTAGGTTAGGTTAGGTTAGAACATGCATCCCCACTGTTTGCTGGAATCAGATGAGCCGCCATGACAGTATACGTATCTGGACTTTAACCAAATAAATCAAAGTAACTGTGGCCCTAAGAATGGTCTTTCATATTTGGCTTCAAAACTAGCTTCCTGTAATGATGAATGATTTATAAAACTTAATGAAAATTTGAAATAAAAATTGGATTAAGATCCTAAAAACTTTAAAATTAATGTTTCTTATAAAGGGTAGGAAAAAATACTTATATGTATATTGTGGAATGGATGATATGTATAGGTATGGATGGAGAAATTTCCAGAGGTCCTTTATATTCATAGGCACTGATTCATATATTTCCTGCACTGTTTGAACCAGACCTGTCTGTCCATGGATATGTATTATCAATATAAGGTCATTTGCTTGCTTTAATGCATAGGGTTGACGCTGCATGGTACACTACAGCAAAATTTAATTGTTTACTAAATAATAATCTTTCTAATTCTGATGATAATTTTTCTAAGAAGCATTATCAGGAATATTTTGAAAAAAATAAGAGAGCAATTTTTGGATGTATTTGGTCTTGGAATTGCATTACTGGTAATCGGTTAAAAATGCATCTGTAAATAAACTGATAATTTGATATTTTTTATCATTAAATTTGGTAAAAAATAAGGTATTATAAAGCCAAATATTTACTTGTATGCACTTTTACATACATTTACATTTTCATACATTAAAGATAGAAGCATCAAATGTTTTTTATTTAAACTGTGAAAGTAATATTGTCATTTATCTTTTAAATTATTAAAAGTATTTCTTTACAGTTCTTTTCAATTTTTAAAGTATTGTATTACAGCACTGTGCTGGGCAGTTTGGCAAGTTGTTTGTTTATCCATAATGTGTAGAGTGAAATAGTAAGTTTTAGTTTACAAATAGAACACATTTATTTGAATGTGGATATTTGCACTAGCAACTTTTAAATCATGGCAACTAAAAAATGAAAGAGTACTTTATTTTTTAGATAACAAAATTGTTGCTTTTCAGAACAGGTCAAAAGGAATTCAATTGGACATTGTGCACTAGTGATTGTTTTGTTGCAAACTCATTAATAAGTGAACAAATAAACAATCCTAGTGTGCTAATTTTTGTATTTGTAGTCAAAATTTAAAAATTGCCAGTAATTTACTAGTAATAAAGTCCTTATTTTGAGCCAAACTAAAAGCAAAAGAAAAAATTTTGGAGCAGACTGTCTTGTGGACTTGCACATCTATAGATTTTAAGTTTATATATGGATTTTCTACAACTGTGACAGGTGGGAGGTGGTCACAGGCTGCACTCGAAACCCCAGACCCAGAAACGGAAGGAAGAAGAAAATGTTAATGAAGTAGTTAGATATAAGGGGAAAATAAAGTGTGATAGGAGAGTGGAAAGGTGGTCAAGGGGTTCATGAGCACCTGCACTTCATTTATTTAAATGAAAACAAATTACAGAACAAATTGTAAACAGTGATTTACATGCTAGATACAAAAAGGTGTTACAAAAAATAGTTGGCGTGATAATAGCAATGCTTACAGACTATTTATGTACATTGGTTAAACAGGCCAGGCTATCAGAATACGAATTGACATGCCAATATAAAGATTCCGTTTACAAAGGTTGGTGAGATACTTTATAATTTGAGATACATAACATTTTGTATACGTATATAACTAATCCAATATGCAGACTCTGCCTTTTGGTGACTTTGCAACTGATGCTTAGCCAGGCAGTACAAGCATCTGTTCAGTGTACAGTGGTTACAATTTTTATATACATGTCCTTGAGACTTTGTGAGAAGTACATATAATGCAATATCTATATACCATGTATACCAGAAGAAATAAGTGCCGCTTAGAAAAGTGTTTAGTGAGTAAACCCACGCAGATACTATGCTGCAGGATGAGAGAATACCACATTATACTGACAATTAGAGATGCAGTAACACCAATTGGCTGAGCATTAGGGCCCTAGGAGAGATTCAATCAAGGATTTTTATATCCAATGCAAATTTTTTAAGATCTTTGTATATTTTGCTGTTGCTTACCAGAGTATTCTTATGGCATGTCCATAGTTCGTTTTGTTTTTGGATTTCGCTGATTAGTTCCTTCCTCTGTAATTCATAGATGGGGCAGTTCCAGATGATGTGCTCTGGGTTTTCGTCTTCGTTGAGTGCACATGGTCACTTACCATCGGTCTTTCGCAAAAACCTCCTAAGATAACTGCGAAAGTTGCCGTGCCCAGTCATAATTTGAGTTGTTTGATAAGCAGGGACTAGATACTTGTATTTACTACGCTGGAGGATGTCAGGTATGAAACTATACGTTAACCTACCTGTTGAGCTGATGTCCCATCTTGCCTGCCACTCTTTCAATGTATGATGGCAGATGTTTTCCTTTAGCCATATGAATGGAGTTTTGCCTTAGGAGCAACTTTGTACCCATACAGGTGCTGTGCAGGCCAAAAGATCAGCCCTCTCATTACCAATAATACCAGAGTGGCCTTTTACCTAGATAAACTTGATGGTAATACTGTTCCGTAAGGTAAGTACTAGGCCTATACTTTTTTGGATTATTGTCAGTTTGGTGTTAATGTTCTTGAGCTGCAACAAGGCAACTTGACTGTCGCTCAGAATTGTAACCCTAGAGATCTTGTGGGCTATCATGTTATTATTAATCCAGAGTAGCGCCTTATTGATGGCCAGAGATTCTGCCTGGTTGACCGTACAATGACTGGCCAACCTGAACCGAGCCTGGTGGATGTTTATGCTATTATTTGCCACAACGATGGAACATCCCACTCCCTTGTCGGACTTTGAACCATCCGTGTAGATACAGAGGTGCTGGGTAGTGACCTCTGCACCCTCCAGGGTGGAAAGATCATCGAAGGAGGTGCTGGGTGATAGTTAAGGCACTGAGGGTTGTAATCCAATTTATATTGTGACAGATGTTCAGAGAGACTCGTGGCTGCTGAGCCAACATCTGACTTGTGACCTTATTGAAACTGTTGATAGTAGTTGTCCCAATGGCCAGCTTATGATGGTGAAAGGTCCATACTTTTTTCTTTATAATCAGGTCTATGGGAATTAGATTTGCTATCACTAGTAGGGTGTCCGTTGGGGCTGTCTTGTATGCCTTGGTGATTGAGATGAGAGCAAGCCTTTGAGCAGACAGGAGCTTTCTTTTTGTGTGTGTTCTTGTGATCAACGTCCCCTAAATCTCTGAACCGTATGTCAGAATTGGCTCAATAACTGCAATATACATGAGGCGGCATGCCTCACTGCCGTACCCCCAATGGTTCTGAGCAATAGAGGCCAAAGAGTGCATAATCATCACTGCCTTCTCATAGGTGTAGTGGGCTTGATGCTTCCATGTTAACCTGTTGTCTAATATCACTCTAAGTATTTTACTGTTTCACTGTTCTTTATTTGGTGACCATCCATTTTGATGATTGGCCTCTTGTGTGGGGGCGTGGTCCTCGGGAAGATGACGCAGTGGCATTTGTCATAATTTATTATGAGTTTCTTGTTGTGACACCACTGTGTGACAGGATGCTATTAGTTTCAAGCAGAGAGAAATATCTTATAAAAATTCTATAAAACCTTTGTATCTCCAGTTGTAAATTTATTATTAGTGACTAATGTTTTCGATCTTAAACAGATCTTCTTCAGACATTAGATGCAATAGACACCTCAAATACATTGGTACTACTAGACGCTCACTCCATAAACATCTACAGAAACACAGATATGGTATTAAGCAAAAAAAGCTAACCATTGACCTCGTCACGTTTGCCTGTGAACAGAACGTGGAAGTAGATTCCAAGAACACATGTATTATCAAACAATGCCACAACATAGAATATGTCTGAATCCTCGAAGCCCTGGAAATTCACAAATCAGTAATAAGAGGAAATATCAACTTTAAAGAATGGCCTCTATCTAAAGCAGGGGTGTCCAACCTTTTTGTTTTTCTCGGCCACATTGGAAGAAGTCATGGAGTTTTGAGCCACAAGTATATTATATATACTGTACTTGTGGCCTAAGTATATTTTGGCTTAAATATCCTTAAATATACAAGTATATTTAAGGATTAACATGTCTAGATTATAGTAATAAGTATTAAAATTTTATTACGAAAAAGGATATTTTAAAAAATTACTTCTATAGACACTTTCAATTTTTACTTAGAAATATATAAATTCATTTATTATAAAGGAGACAGACAAACATTTATTTGAAAAACACAAATATTTGTTTTATTTGGGTTTCTAATTAATAAAAATGACAAAACACCATTTTAAAGTGCATTTTTATTCAACTAATACATTTATAAATAATATGTAGCCCAAAAAGTAGCCAATGGCCAAACAAATAAAAAGGGTAGCCAAATTTGGCACAAAGTAGTCAAATCTTGCAATGCTGGGAGGAATACTAAATAAAGCCGGAGTTGGGACTCAAAGGATTATAAACCCAAAAGGAGAGAAAGGACAACAGATAAAGAAGTGAGGAAGGTTGGAAAATTAAGGGTCAATATTTGCATAACAGAAGGTCTATTTAACCTTTCTCACTACTTTTTATCTTTTGGTCTTTCTCTCCTTTCCTCAAATTTGAGTCTATACTCCTTTGAGTCACAACTCCAGCTTTATTTAGTATACCTTCCTCATTCACACGTTTCCAAGTATTTAAAAATATTTCCTTTCCACTGAAAAATAAAATATATATAAAGGTTTACAGCTTTGTGAAACTTCTGTTTTGAGTTTATGCCATTGAAATAAATAAAAAAATAAAAAAATTTGTCAGTTTTGTTTACATGTTTATTGGGCCGCATTGGAACTTGCCTTGGGCCACAAGTTGGACGCCCCTGGTCTAAAGCATGGCAATATTTATGTGAAAAACAATTACCCCCAATTGATGATAAACATGGATTATAAATATTGATTATAAATGTGCTGTATATTTAATTTTAAATAATAATTTTATTTTAATTTTTTGTTAATTTTAAAAAATTGTTGCTGATGTTTCTTTTTTATTTTTATTTTATATCTAATTACATTATGTATTTGTTTTTATTGGTTGTTTCAAGTTTTTAAACTAGTATGTTCTATTTTGGTTGTGTATTCAAATCTGAAGATCTGTTTCAGATCGAAAACATTAGTCACTAATAATAAATTTACAACTGGAGATACAAAGGTTTTGTAGATTTTTTTTTTTATTAGACCCAGTTCATTTATATTTCCATAGAATTATTGAGAAAAATCTTTTGTGAATTGATAAACAGTTGTTGCTTTTGATTGCAGTTAGATTGTTGCTTTATTCTCATGGTATGAATGAACTTTTCTTGTTTTGTAGAATTTTAGTTTTTTGAAAAGTATGAGTTTGATATTTTATTTTATATGAAGTTATTTTTGCCATTACTGCTAAGTGACATAAATAGAATAGATAAAATGATCCAAAAATAATGATACAGACTAAAGTGAAAAACAAATGTAAAATATAGTCAAATAGAGAAGTGTTTTTCTTATTTGAATCATTCTAGATAAAAATAAGTAATTTAAGTAGCAACAGATCCAGAAGAACCCAAAGAGGAGCTAATTCAAAAATTATGAGCAATTATTATGACATTGTCATAATGCCAGGCTGTAATTTTTAATTTATTAATTTAAAATATATGCTCTTCACCTCAAATTAGTAGTCTTGCCCCTATCTAAATATATAAAATTACTTGTCCTGACTGACCGAGTCACTGATTGATTCATCATCACCCAGAGCAAACCGCTTAACCTAAAGAGGTGAAATTTTGTACACAGAGTATGTCATGAAAACGCACACTAAGAAGGGATTTTTCGAAATTCCCCTATGGGGGGAGAGGGAGAGCATTAATACTTAACCTGAAGAATGGCTTTTGAAATTGATTCCCATATTTTCCCTTAAATTGATAACATTTCAGACATTGTTATAAATATTTTTATATATTTCGATTTTTTAACCAAATGTTTGAACTGTTTTAAATTCAAATTTGTTATTACATATTCGTTCGATTATAGCATGATTGTAAACGTTCCAGAAAATTGATCAAATTGAAAATAGTTTGTTTGATTCTCAGCAATTCTCATCATTCTCAGTGGTAGGTGTTATATAACAATTACTATGGTTGTTGAAATACTGAATATAAATAGGGTTTGCTTGCAAAACCCCTGTGGGTGAAGTTGTGTGTAACAGCTAGTACACCATACTTCTGCTAACAATAGTGTCATGCTAGTCATCTATCTAACTCTTTTCAAGGAAAAATGTTTTAATTGAAATAATGTGACTTCTATTGCAAACTGGAAGTTTATATATAGTTAATTGGGGCATCTTGCCCCTATGCTTTCCGTATATGGTCTCGACTTTCATCACTCTATCTCCATTCTTGAGATTAAGGAAGGACAGACAGTCTGATGGATGACAGTGGGAATTTATAAGTCTACAATTGCTTCCCAAAAATTATTTGAATATTTAATAAGAACCTTTCATTAACATGTGCAAGACAGCTGCATTACAAATGGTTAATAAACCATATTTGCCATTATAAATTGTTTTGAAATTCAAACAAATCTTAATTTTTTTGATCAGTTAGGATTGCTCAAGCCTCTATTGGATCTCCTTGACTAAAAGTTTTGTAATGTTAGTCTAAATGCTTAAATATTAAGTGAAAATATAAGAAATATACTTGCCAGAAATTGAAAATGTGAAAATTTATATGAGTAACAAGTATTTTATTGCTTTATTAATTACCAAATTAATTAATATGGTTGTGTATTGGTAACAGTCAGATAAGCTCTGAAAGCAGTTTAATGGCAAAATATCCCAATATCAAAAGCATTATTCTTTGGAGATATTTGTCAAATGATCAATCATTTGAATTTTCTCACTCTTTTTATGTCTTTTAGTCTTTGAAATATTATTGATTCACAATTATCAATTTGATAAGTTATTCCAATTAGTCTGTTGATTATATCAGTTTCCTACTTCTCCACCTGTTCTTTCAACATTATTAGTCCATCTTTCAGTAGGGGATCACTTTTTTAGATTTGATTTTGTTTTATAACCAGATGGTTGTTTTTTGCTTGTACTGTAGTGATGACTGACTGATAACATAAAGAGCAATAAGTAAATAAGACTCCCAATTAGTATGAATTCTGGTTATATTGACTATGATATCATAACACTTGTTAACTTGTTAAAACAAATTGTAAAAACTGTATAACTTGAATATTTATTTATTATAATTATTAATATTGTATTATTAATTAATAATAATTTGTTTTTGCAATCAGTAACATCTTTAACAACAACTAGCATATAATTGAAGTAAGAAATGACAGCAATTTAAAGTACTGTACTGTGAGCAAATGATGAGTCATATTTTACATTTCAAGCATTAGTTAAGACTGATAATTCTAAGTTCCTTGTAAATTATCAGCCATATTTTGAAGCAGATAGTTCAAAAAGATGATAATTATTATTAAAACTCTTCTTATAAGTGAAGTTTTATAAGTTTAATTTGTTTTGGGACTTGCTAATTCTGAAAATGTTAGATGATGTTACAATATCTTAATTATAATAAGCAGATTTTACTGAAAAAATTATGCCATTATCAGTCCTTGAAATATCAGACTAAATATACTAGGCTGAACAAATAGAATTAAATTAAAAAATATTCATAAATATAATATTTTTTTAAGGATAAGAAAAATATAAATAAAAGTTTCCAAAGAGTTTTCATTTTCTTTAAAAATATAATGTAATCAACACAATTATTTTAAACACAGTATTTTATATACTCTGAATTTAAGAAATAACCAACTAACCTATGTTTGTGTTGTACAGCTTAATGACTTTCATCACTGTTGTTCATCCATTTATTATTTTCCAAGTTTTCAGTAAAATGCTATTGAAATGAAGACTTATTTAATTTAGAAATTTATGTATTGTTGCATTACTGCTTTATTAGAATTACATATATTAGCAGGCCCGTGAAGATAGAAATTTGCCATTAATGGACCAAATCTCTCATCTACAATCTGTACCATATTTGGAGTGTATATTTACCAGTATTTTGATTGATATTTGCCACAGTTTATTGTTAAGTGACTTAGTTGATGTTATACTATTATAATACTAGGGAGATTGTTGTGTGTAGATACAGGGTGAGTCAGAAATTCCTTGCATGCTTTTCATTCCAAAAGTGCTAAAGATATATTAATCTTAAGTGCTTGTGGAGTGAAAAATGTGCAAGGGACTTTTGACTCACCCTGTATATGTATATATGAATTATCTATAGAAGAATGAATGAAAGATTTTGTAACTTTGTGGATAAATTAGTTTAGCTGAAACTGGAGGATATAATTGAGAAATTAAAAAAATGTGGTAGTAAAAATTATACTTTGAAGCTGCAGGCTACAATCAATATGACACATCTGTTACATGTAAAATTATAAATTATATAAAACTATAATCTAACAATATAAAAATATGTAATTATAATTTTAGCATTATCTTATTCTTAAAATCAAAACAATACAATAATTTTTAATAAATTTTTTGTAATATTTTATATCTTTTTATCTTATAATTGAGTAACAGTCATTCTTTGAGTCATTCAGTCAATTCATGCTTTATTGGAGCACAAGAAAATTTAAGTAATTCCTAGTAATGCTTTTTCATTTCTCTTCAAGACTCATTTGATATGAACTCTTCTCAAGTGTCAACTGCTGCTCACAATTTAAATTAAATTTTTGAATGTATATGAAGAATTGGATATTAAAATTGGCATAAAATTCAAGTTTATAAAATTCTGTAAAATGTTTTAATTATCAGTCTTATTGTTTAAGCAACTATTTTTACATTTTAATTAAGTTTTCCTTATGTTTTCTTATGTTTTGGCATTTTTTTCAAATATTTTAATAGACTGTATTTATATATTTATTATTTGCTAGTAATGTAAGTCAAGCATACCAGCATATCATCATTAATTGATATGTTTTTAATAAATGTATGCTGTATTAATCTAGTTCTTTAAAGTTAATTTTTTAACTATTTATTTTTGTACATTGATGAGGGCTAAAGTATTCAAAATATATTTTCTGCTATGTGTAAAATAATTTAAAATAAACAAGACATATGAAGATAACATTGTTTATTTAGTAGTTATTGATGATAAAAATGTATGATTTTTCATTTACAGTTTTTTCTAGGCAAAAGATGAATTTAAACATTTTCCAGCATCTTAAATTAATAATTTTGTGAATTCAAATATTTCTTAACATTTGACAGATGCAAAAATGAAAAACTTTTCTCAAAATGATCAGACAGATGTGAGTTTTGAAGAATTATTAGAACAATACAGGCAAATTAAATTCCTTTTAAAGGATTTGAATGAGGAAGAGGAAAAACGATTAGATGAAAATAAAGTAGACGAAAAATACTTCAAATATACAGATGGAGAAAGTGGTAACAAAGAAAATCGTCATAAAAGAAAGTTATCAGTCTCAAGCAAAAGATGTAAACAGTCAGTTGATCATTCTGTGGTAAGTAGTGATGTAGTTGTGATTTTGATATGAACTTTAAGATATCTGGAATTTTTATTTAAATTAAAAATTTTTAATGGAAATTATTTTAATGCTTTAAACGTATTGTTAATGTATTACTATTTTCTGCTATTTTAACATAATTGCTTTTATAGGACCATTATAATTTAATTTAAATTAAATTATAATTTAATTTAAATTAAATTATAATGCATTAAAGGTAATTAAAGATAAGCATTTAATTATAATTATAATTACCTTTGTTGTTGTTAATCTCAAAAATCATTTTAATTTATAATTTGGGAAAATTAGTTTTGAGAATTAATTTTACCACTTTCATCATACATTACATTTCAACTCTGTAAAACCTTGCTTTAAAGCCAGCAAATTCACATGTTTAAAATGCAATACAATATATAATAGGTAATGTGTAATAATACAATTTATATTATGTATGTATGTCTCTTTAATCCGAAAATTAAGTTCGGTAATTATCATTACAGCTTTCAGGTTAGATACTTTTTATTGTTTCCACCAGGGCTGTGGAGTCGGAGTCGTGGAGTTTTGGTGTTTTAGCCGGAGTCGGAGTCGGATGGTAAGGAAAAGTCGGAGTCGTGGAGTTTTAGTGTTTTAGCCGGAGTCGGAGTCGGAGTCGGATGGTAAGGAAAAGTCGGAGTCGGAGTTGGAATCGGTAGATTTTTACGCGACTCTACAGCCCTGGCAGGGCTGTGGAGTCGGAGTCGTGGAGTTTTGGTATTTTAGCCGGAGTCGGATTGGTAAGGAAAAGTCGGAGTTGGTAGATTTTTACGCAACTCCACAGCCCTGGTTTCCACATATGCATTTCAGACTTATATAAATGTTAAGTCATAATAACAGCTACCAAAAGTGATATTTAGAACAATTTATATTATTAACTTGCAATCATTACCTTTTTTTTTTTTTTTTTTTACAGGATTGCATGCATAAGGCAACAATTTTCTGCTGAATTTTCATTTTTTTTTTTTTTTTTTTTACAGGATTGCATGCATAAGGCAACAATTTTCTGCTGAATTTTCATGCATAATTGATGATCCTCAAGTTTGACCATTTTGAAAAAGTTACATATAATGTGTCTTCTCTTCACATGCCAAATTTCAACATCATATATAGTTTGAGATATTTTGTTTACAGAGCAGTGTCTTTTCAAGGGCTTTCCATGGAGACCTCTTGAAAGCTTGGGCTAGTGTGCTTTGGTAAAAGTTTTATTTCTAGCTTGACCCATTCATACTAATGTGGGCTAGTGTTAAATAGGTTCAGCTGGATATAAATGACAGAAGGGATGTATTTCTTAGAAGGACTAGAAATGATTTTTCTGTATATTTTTGGGCATGAAATAAATCACAAAAACATTTAAATTATTGAAGGTCATAGTGCCCCAGGTTTTCTTATGGAGACAAGTGTTCAAGATTATAGTGACTTGCAGATTGTCATGTTAAATTATGCATAGTTGATAAATGTTCAGGATGTGATTACTTCTTGTAGCAATAGGCCTTCATGATGTCAGACTGGAAAATTGCCATGTATGCATGCAATCTTGTAAAAAAAGAAAAATGAATGTGATTGCATGTGCATGATGATAAATTTCTGCAATGGTTTTCTGAAGGTCTGATAAGCAGAAAAAAATTTTTAGACCAAAATTTTTACACAGATGAATAGCATGTGGCATGAAGATATCATGAAAGTAAAGCTAAGTTAGTTACTTTGGTGAAAGAGGCCCATGAAAAAACTGGTAGATATGGAAAATTGCTGCTATTGCATGTGATCATGGGTTAATAATTTTAATTATAATATAATTAAATTTTATGTCTGGCATTTATTACATCAGACTTAAAATTTGATTAAAAAAGATTAAAAAGATAGTTTTTTGAAGTATTGTGTGTTAAATCTATAAATTCTATTGTAAAAGAAAGGACTAAGAGAGAAAAAATACAAAATTGAATAATAGAAGGACTGTTAAAAAATTAAGTGAAATGTTCTTGCTAAAAAAAAAATACAAAGCTTTTTTTTGTAGAAAGTGAGATAATGATCATAAAATACGAACTCAAAATTCATGTTAGCAATACAGATGAAAAAAGCTCTTTCCAATTCAATGTTAGAATTTGCAATTCTAATGTGGAATTGAAAAATTGGAATTTACAGATTTAAATTCCAATCTGTAAATGATTTTAGGGCTTCATTTATAGAATTAGATATTAAATTGAAAAACAGTATCACGGAGTTGTTTTATATTACACTTTATATTTCAATCACTTGATATTCATTTAATGTTAAAATTAATGTGATATTTATTATGCTATACAGTAAGGTCCCTAGGTATTATCTACTCACAGATCTTTATCTTTTAGTGGGAATATGGACATAACAAAATTTTTCAAAAAATAGGTTAGCAAGCCTTTTAATGAATTTTATTTTGTTACTAATTCTATTTAACAATCTTTTTTCAAATACTTCTTATATTAGGTATGGTTTTGTATTATCTTGAAATTTTTTATTCATTCTGTTACCATTTCTGTTTAGATTGAATAATTAAGACACTATTATAGTTTGAAAGTTTGTTTATTGAATTAGAAGCTTTCCAAGAAATATTTTCTCAAAAATTTACAAAGTACAGAAATGATAAATAATTTTAAATTTAAATAGTATTATTTATCATTTCTCATTTTAATAATTTTGATTGCATAACAAAACAATTTGTGATTTTTTTTTTCCCTCCCAGTTTAAGAGAGAAATTTAATAAATGTATATTTTTGTTCATGGATTATATAGGATTTGTTAATGAATAATAAATAAATAATTTTTTTCAAAGCCATTTAGATTTATGGTTGTGGATTAATAACAGAATAAACTACTTTAATTTAATAAAACATTTTGGTAATTATGAAAAAAACATATAACTGTTAATTAGAAAAATAACTAATTAAAAAGTTAGAGAAGCAATAGCATATGTGCATAGTAAGTCAAATGTTGGTTTTTTTATTTTATACTGTGTGTTGTACTGTAACAGACATGAAGGTCAGGGAATTTGTACAAAGTTGGTCAGGAGAAGTCAGAAAAAGTCATAGAATTTAAAACAAAAATTCAAGTAGGAACCCTGTTTATGAATTTGAAAAATGATATAATTTAACAGTTAAGTTTAACAGAAAAATGAAGGATAAAGTATTAGATTTTATTTATTAAAAACAGATTTCATGATATGTATTTCTCTGTTAATACTGTATTCTGTTGATTTTATTAAGGATAAAGGCAAACCAATAAAAAGAAGATACAGTGAATCTTCTGAAAAATATGCTGTTTCCTGCGAGAATCAAAGCAATATAAAAAAATTAAGTGACAAAGAAACCAACCAAGAAATGTGTATTAAAGAAAATAATGAGGAAGTGAGTTTTGTTTAATATTTTCTGAATTAATAAAAACATATAATTTTTTATTTTACTTTNACTGGAGGATATAATTGAGAAATTAAAAAAATGTGGTAGTAAAAATTATACTTTGAAGCTGCAGGCTACAATCAATATGACACATCTGTTACATGTAAAATTATAAATTATGCTGATGTTTCTTTTTTATTTTTATTTTATATCTAATTACATTATGTATTTGTTTTTATTGGTTGTTTCAAGTTTTTAAACTAGTATGTTCTATTTTGGTTGTGTATTCAAATCTGAAGATCTGTTTCAGATCGAAAACATTAGTCACTAATAATAAATTTACAACTGGAGATACAAAGGTTTTGTAGATTTTTTTTTTTATTAGACCCAGTTCATTTATATTTCCATAGAATTATTGAGAAAAATCTTTTGTGAATTGATAAACAGTTGTTGCTTTTGATTGCAGTTAGATTGTTGCTTTATTCTCATGGTATGAATGAACTTTTCTTGTTTTGTAGAATTTTAGTTTTTTGAAAAGTATGAGTTTGATATTTTATTTTATATGAAGTTATTTTTGCCATTACTGCTAAGTGACATAAATAGAATAGATAAAATGATCCAAAAATAATGATACAGACTAAAGTGAAAAACAAATGTAAAATATAGTCAAATAGAGAAGTGTTTTTCTTATTTGAATCATTCTAGATAAAAATAAGTAATTTAAGTAGCAACAGATCCAGAAGAACCCAAAGAGGAGCTAATTCAAAAATTATGAGCAATTATTATGACATTGTCATAATGCCAGGCTGTAATTTTTAATTTATTAATTTAAAATATATGCTCTTCACCTCAAATTAGTAGTCTTGCCCCTATCTAAATATATAAAATTACTTGTCCTGACTGACCGAGTCACTGATTGATTCATCATCACCCAGAGCAAACCGCTTAACCTAAAGAGGTGAAATTTTGTACACAGAGTATGTCATGAAAACGCACACTAAGAAGGGATTTTTCGAAATTCCCCTATGGGGGGAGAGGGAGAGCATTAATACTTAACCTGAAGAATGGCTTTTGAAATTGATTCCCATATTTTCCCTTAAATTGATAACATTTCAGACATTGTTATAAATATTTTTATATATTTCGATTTTTTAACCAAATGTTTGAACTGTTTTAAATTCAAATTTGTTATTACATATTCGTTCGATTATAGCATGATTGTAAACGTTCCAGAAAATTGATCAAATTGAAAATAGTTTGTTTGATTCTCAGCAATTCTCATCATTCTCAGTGGTAGGTGTTATATAACAATTACTATGGTTGTTGAAATACTGAATATAAATAGGGTTTGCTTGCAAAACCCCTGTGGGTGAAGTTGTGTGTAACAGCTAGTACACCATACTTCTGCTAACAATAGTGTCATGCTAGTCATCTATCTAACTCTTTTCAAGGAAAAATGTTTTAATTGAAATAATGTGACTTCTATTGCAAACTGGAAGTTTATATATAGTTAATTGGGGCATCTTGCCCCTATGCTTTCCGTATATGGTCTCGACTTTCATCACTCTATCTCCATTCTTGAGATTAAGGAAGGACAGACAGTCTGATGGATGACAGTGGGAATTTATAAGTCTACAATTGCTTCCCAAAAATTATTTGAATATTTAATAAGAACCTTTCATTAACATGTGCAAGACAGCTGCATTACAAATGGTTAATAAACCATATTTGCCATTATAAATTGTTTTGAAATTCAAACAAATCTTAATTTTTTTGATCAGTTAGGATTGCTCAAGCCTCTATTGGATCTCCTTGACTAAAAGTTTTGTAATGTTAGTCTAAATGCTTAAATATTAAGTGAAAATATAAGAAATATACTTGCCAGAAATTGAAAATGTGAAAATTTATATGAGTAACAAGTATTTTATTGCTTTATTAATTACCAAATTAATTAATATGGTTGTGTATTGGTAACAGTCAGATAAGCTCTGAAAGCAGTTTAATGGCAAAATATCCCAATATCAAAAGCATTATTCTTTGGAGATATTTGTCAAATGATCAATCATTTGAATTTTCTCACTCTTTTTATGTCTTTTAGTCTTTGAAATATTATTGATTCACAATTATCAATTTGATAAGTTATTCCAATTAGTCTGTTGATTATATCAGTTTCCTACTTCTCCACCTGTTCTTTCAACATTATTAGTCCATCTTTCAGTAGGGGATCACTTTTTTAGATTTGATTTTGTTTTATAACCAGATGGTTGTTTTTTGCTTGTACTGTAGTGATGACTGACTGATAACATAAAGAGCAATAAGTAAATAAGACTCCCAATTAGTATGAATTCTGGTTATATTGACTATGATATCATAACACTTGTTAACTTGTTAAAACAAATTGTAAAAACTGTATAACTTGAATATTTATTTATTATAATTATTAATATTGTATTATTAATTAATAATAATTTGTTTTTGCAATCAGTAACATCTTTAACAACAACTAGCATATAATTGAAGTAAGAAATGACAGCAATTTAAAGTACTGTACTGTGAGCAAATGATGAGTCATATTTTACATTTCAAGCATTAGTTAAGACTGATAATTCTAAGTTCCTTGTAAATTATCAGCCATATTTTGAAGCAGATAGTTCAAAAAGATGATAATTATTATTAAAACTCTTCTTATAAGTGAAGTTTTATAAGTTTAATTTGTTTTGGGACTTGCTAATTCTGAAAATGTTAGATGATGTTACAATATCTTAATTATAATAAGCAGATTTTACTGAAAAAATTATGCCATTATCAGTCCTTGAAATATCAGACTAAATATACTAGGCTGAACAAATAGAATTAAATTAAAAAATATTCATAAATATAATATTTTTTTAAGGATAAGAAAAATATAAATAAAAGTTTCCAAAGAGTTTTCATTTTCTTTAAAAATATAATGTAATCAACACAATTATTTTAAACACAGTATTTTATATACTCTGAATTTAAGAAATAACCAACTAACCTATGTTTGTGTTGTACAGCTTAATGACTTTCATCACTGTTGTTCATCCATTTATTATTTTCCAAGTTTTCAGTAAAATGCTATTGAAATGAAGACTTATTTAATTTAGAAATTTATGTATTGTTGCATTACTGCTTTATTAGAATTACATATATTAGCAGGCCCGTGAAGATAGAAATTTGCCATTAATGGACCAAATCTCTCATCTACAATCTGTACCATATTTGGAGTGTATATTTACCAGTATTTTGATTGATATTTGCCACAGTTTATTGTTAAGTGACTTAGTTGATGTTATACTATTATAATACTAGGGAGATTGTTGTGTGTAGATACAGGGTGAGTCAGAAATTCCTTGCATGCTTTTCATTCCAAAAGTGCTAAAGATATATTAATCTTAAGTGCTTGTGGAGTGAAAAATGTGCAAGGGACTTTTGACTCACCCTGTATATGTATATATGAATTATCTATAGAAGAATGAATGAAAGATTTTGTAACTTTGTGGATAAATTAGTTTAGCTGAAACTGGAGGATATAATTGAGAAATTAAAAAAATGTGGTAGTAAAAATTATACTTTGAAGCTGCAGGCTACAATCAATATGACACATCTGTTACATGTAAAATTATAAATTATATAAAACTATAATCTAACAATATAAAAATATGTAATTATAATTTTAGCATTATCTTATTCTTAAAATCAAAACAATACAATAATTTTTAATAAATTTTTTGTAATATTTTATATCTTTTTATCTTATAATTGAGTAACAGTCATTCTTTGAGTCATTCAGTCAATTCATGCTTTATTGGAGCACAAGAAAATTTAAGTAATTCCTAGTAATGCTTTTTCATTTCTCTTCAAGACTCATTTGATATGAACTCTTCTCAAGTGTCAACTGCTGCTCACAATTTAAATTAAATTTTTGAATGTATATGAAGAATTGGATATTAAAATTGGCATAAAATTCAAGTTTATAAAATTCTGTAAAATGTTTTAATTATCAGTCTTATTGTTTAAGCAACTATTTTTACATTTTAATTAAGTTTTCCTTATGTTTTCTTATGTTTTGGCATTTTTTTCAAATATTTTAATAGACTGTATTTATATATTTATTATTTGCTAGTAATGTAAGTCAAGCATACCAGCATATCATCATTAATTGATATGTTTTTAATAAATGTATGCTGTATTAATCTAGTTCTTTAAAGTTAATTTTTTAACTATTTATTTTTGTACATTGATGAGGGCTAAAGTATTCAAAATATATTTTCTGCTATGTGTAAAATAATTTAAAATAAACAAGACATATGAAGATAACATTGTTTATTTAGTAGTTATTGATGATAAAAATGTATGATTTTTCATTTACAGTTTTTTCTAGGCAAAAGATGAATTTAAACATTTTCCAGCATCTTAAATTAATAATTTTGTGAATTCAAATATTTCTTAACATTTGACAGATGCAAAAATGAAAAACTTTTCTCAAAATGATCAGACAGATGTGAGTTTTGAAGAATTATTAGAACAATACAGGCAAATTAAATTCCTTTTAAAGGATTTGAATGAGGAAGAGGAAAAACGATTAGATGAAAATAAAGTAGACGAAAAATACTTCAAATATACAGATGGAGAAAGTGGTAACAAAGAAAATCGTCATAAAAGAAAGTTATCAGTCTCAAGCAAAAGATGTAAACAGTCAGTTGATCATTCTGTGGTAAGTAGTGATGTAGTTGTGATTTTGATATGAACTTTAAGATATCTGGAATTTTTATTTAAATTAAAAATTTTTAATGGAAATTATTTTAATGCTTTAAACGTATTGTTAATGTATTACTATTTTCTGCTATTTTAACATAATTGCTTTTATAGGACCATTATAATTTAATTTAAATTAAATTATAATTTAATTTAAATTAAATTATAATGCATTAAAGGTAATTAAAGATAAGCATTTAATTATAATTATAATTACCTTTGTTGTTGTTAATCTCAAAAATCATTTTAATTTATAATTTGGGAAAATTAGTTTTGAGAATTAATTTTACCACTTTCATCATACATTACATTTCAACTCTGTAAAACCTTGCTTTAAAGCCAGCAAATTCACATGTTTAAAATGCAATACAATATATAATAGGTAATGTGTAATAATACAATTTATATTATGTATGTATGTCTCTTTAATCCGAAAATTAAGTTCGGTAATTATCATTACAGCTTTCAGGTTAGATACTTTTTATTGTTTCCACCAGGGCTGTGGAGTCGGAGTCGTGGAGTTTTGGTGTTTTAGCCGGAGTCGGAGTCGGATGGTAAGGAAAAGTCGGAGTCGGAGTTGGAGTCGGTAGATTTTTACGCGACTCTACAGCCCTGGCAGGGCTGTGGAGTCGGAGTCGTGGAGTTTTGGTATTTTAGCCGGAGTCGGAGTCGGATTGGTAAGGAAAAGTCGGAGTTGGTAGATTTTTACGCAACTCCACAGCCCTGGTTTCCACATATGCATTTCAGACTTATATAAATGTTAAGTCATAATAACAGCTACCAAAAGTGATATTTAGAACAATTTATATTATTAACTTGCAATCATTACCTTTTTTTTTTTTTTTTTTTACAGGATTGCATGCATAAGGCAACAATTTTCTGCTGAATTTTCATGCATAATTGATGATCCTCAAGTTTGACCATTTTGAAAAAGTTACATATAATGTGTCTTCTCTTCACATGCCAAATTTCAACATCATATATAGTTTGAGATATTTTGTTTACAGAGCAGTGTCTTTTCAAGGGCTTTCCATGGAGACCTCTTGAAAGCTTGGGCTAGTGTGCTTTGGTAAAAGTTTTATTTCTAGCTTGACCCATTCATACTAATGTGGGCTAGTGTTAAATAGGTTCAGCTGGATATAAATGACAGAAGGGATGTATTTCTTAGAAGGACTAGAAATGATTTTTCTGTATATTTTTGGGCATGAAATAAATCACAAAAACATTTAAATTATTGAAGGTCATAGTGCCCCAGGTTTTCTTATGGAGACAAGTGTTCAAGATTATAGTGACTTGCAGATTGTCATGTTAAATTATGCATAGTTGATAAATGTTCAGGATGTGATTACTTCTTGTAGCAATAGGCCTTCATGATGTCAGACTGGAAAATTGCCATGTATGCATGCAATCTTGTAAAAAAAGAAAAATGAATGTGATTGCATGTGCATGATGATAAATTTCTGCAATGGTTTTCTGAAGGTCTGATAAGCAGAAAAAAATTTTTAGACCAAAATTTTTACACAGATGAATAGCATGTGGCATGAAGATATCATGAAAGTAAAGCTAAGTTAGTTACTTTGGTGAAAGAGGCCCATGAAAAAACTGGTAGATATGGAAAATTGCTGCTATTGCATGTGATCATGGGTTAATAATTTTAATTATAATATAATTAAATTTTATGTCTGGCATTTATTACATCAGACTTAAAATTTGATTAAAAAAGATTAAAAAGATAGTTTTTTGAAGTATTGTGTGTTAAATCTATAAATTCTATTGTAAAAGAAAGGACTAAGAGAGAAAAAATACAAAATTGAATAATAGAAGGACTGTTAAAAAATTAAGTGAAATGTTCTTGCTAAAAAAAAAATACAAAGCTTTTTTTTGTAGAAAGTGAGATAATGATCATAAAATACGAACTCAAAATTCATGTTAGCAATACAGATGAAAAAAGCTCTTTCCAATTCAATGTTAGAATTTGCAATTCTAATGTGGAATTGAAAAATTGGAATTTACAGATTTAAATTCCAATCTGTAAATGATTTTAGGGCTTCATTTATAGAATTAGATATTAAATTGAAAAACAGTATCACGGAGTTGTTTTATATTACACTTTATATTTCAATCACTTGATATTCATTTAATGTTAAAATTAATGTGATATTTATTATGCTATACAGTAAGGTCCCTAGGTATTATCTACTCACAGATCTTTATCTTTTAGTGGGAATATGGACATAACAAAATTTTTCAAAAAATAGGTTAGCAAGCCTTTTAATGAATTTTATTTTGTTACTAATTCTATTTAACAATCTTTTTTCAAATACTTCTTATATTAGGTATGGTTTTGTATTATCTTGAAATTTTTTATTCATTCTGTTACCATTTCTGTTTAGATTGAATAATTAAGACACTATTATAGTTTGAAAGTTTGTTTATTGAATTAGAAGCTTTCCAAGAAATATTTTCTCAAAAATTTACAAAGTACAGAAATGATAAATAATTTTAAATTTAAATAGTATTATTTATCATTTCTCATTTTAATAATTTTGATTGCATAACAAAACAATTTGTGATTTTTTTTTCCCTCCCAGTTTAAGAGAGAAATTTAATAAATGTATATTTTTGTTCATGGATTATATAGGATTTGTTAATGAATAATAAATAAATAATTTTTTTCAAAGCCATTTAGATTTATGGTTGTGGATTAATAACAGAATAAACTACTTTAATTTAATAAAACATTTTGGTAATTATGAAAAAAACATATAACTGTTAATTAGAAAAATAACTAATTAAAAAGTTAGAGAAGCAATAGCATATGTGCATAGTAAGTCAAATGTTGGTTTTTTTATTTTATACTGTGTGTTGTACTGTAACAGACATGAAGGTCAGGGAATTTGTACAAAGTTGGTCAGGAGAAGTCAGAAAAAGTCATAGAATTTAAAACAAAAATTCAAGTAGGAACCCTGTTTATGAATTTGAAAAATGATATAATTTAACAGTTAAGTTTAACAGAAAAATGAAGGATAAAGTATTAGATTTTATTTATTAAAAACAGATTTCATGATATGTATTTCTCTGTTAATACTGTATTCTGTTGATTTTATTAAGGATAAAGGCAAACCAATAAAAAGAAGATACAGTGAATCTTCTGAAAAATATGCTGTTTCCTGCGAGAATCAAAGCAATATAAAAAAATTAAGTGACAAAGAAACCAACCAAGAAATGTGTATTAAAGAAAATAATGAGGAAGTGAGTTTTGTTTAATATTTTCTGAATTAATAAAAACATATAATTTTTTATTTTACTTTGAAACTAATTTTTTAAACTATAAATTTTAAGTGTTGTTTTATGACATTTTTCTCTGATAAAACAAAAAATAAAATTTTTATTTTTTAATTTTATCTATTTATTTTTGTATTAAAATAAATTAAAACTTTATTTTTGCTGTTTTGTATTATTTTAGATTCAGTATTTTTCAATTATTTTATTATTTGTATGTATAATTTTGTCTCACTAAATTAGATTTGAAAATTTTGAAAAAATATATTTTGTTTTAGAAATTTGTATACTCTAAGAAAAGAAATTTTTTTTTTTAATTTCAAAATTAGCAATAATTAACTCAAAAAAATGATAGTGATAAACTTTATCCTTTCTATTCACTAAAGAAATTCAACAGTTGGAAATCAGATTTTAATCATTCTTTAACAAATAATTGAATTTATGTAGAACTATGAATAAACTGATACAGAATGATCATAATTTTTTTTTATTTCTAGGATGAAGATTTACTGGAACTAAGGAAACAAGCATTAGCAACTTTAACGAAACAAACAAATTTGAAAGCACTTGAAAATAGTCCAGAAGGTTGTTGTTATTCCTTTTTTTTTTTTAATATTTAAAAATTTCTTAAAGCTTTTGTTTATTCTCTTTATTGACCTATAAATATATTATTTGTATTAAAACATTCTGAATTTTGAGATTGTCCAATTTGTAATGCTCTCTGAATACAAATTATATAACATATGTAAATAACTAAATTCATTGAATTGGTGCTTATTATTTTTGTATCTTATTCACATCCATATTTTTCAGCTATTCATTTTGCAAAAAATTGAACAGCAGCTTTACAAAATACCATAATTATAGTGTCATTTTATGTTCATGATTTGAATTTTGCTCCTTTTATTCTGTACTGTTTTAAATGAAATGACAAGGCATATGTCATCTTTGAGCATCAGTTTAAAATTAACTTTATTGAAGAATTATTTTAACAATTATGAGATAAAAGAACTAAATTAAATATACTTGCCCATTTAGTGCCCATAAACAGAGTTAAAAATGAATGAAAAAGTACTATCAAAATTATTTCAACATTTGATTGATTCTGCATATTTTGGAAATGCACCTGCATAGGTATTGAAATTGTATGCTTTAGAGTATAATCATACATTTATTTGAGAATAAATAATGTATTTCAAATTAATATACTGTATGGAGTATGGGCTCAATTACATTGGGTGTGTTTACTAGCTACTTGCTGACATGCAAACTCAGAAAAGAGTAGACAAGTTCACACACACACACACACACACACACACACACACACACACACACACACACACAGACACAGTGAGTATCAATTACACTGGGATAGTAAATTTGCTTGCCATTTCATTTACTATTTGGTAGCAAATGTATGTAATGATATGTAGTATTCCAGGTTGTCAGTAGTGATGTAATTCTGCTATGCATAGTGATTTTTAGCCTGTTTAATTGGCATAATGGCAATAGAGCAAGATTAATCCAAAAGTAACAATATTCTAAATGAAAATAATTATTTTATGTATGTTTTGAATTTTAGCCCAAAATATAGCAATCAAAGAAAAGAAATCTCTGGTAGTGACTTTAATTTTGTCTGTTGGCAGCTTTTGATGCTCTTTCTGTGATGTTAGATGCTGACTTGTTGAAACATAAAATGTCAAGGAAGTGGAACTGTAATAATAGTTTTTTAGTCATTTATCAATAGTATTTACTATTATAGAATATAAAACATCCTAATTATGTAAATGTTAAAGTAAAGATAAGATGTAGACATTATCTACTTTCTGTGTTACTCAATGCACATGATCATAGACTAAGTTTCCTAGTCAGACAGTAAACTTGCAAGTATTAACAAAAGTAGTCTGGAGTGAAGTTGAAGAAACTTCACTCACAGATAAATTATAAGTAGTTTACTAGCTGAAGTAATTACATTGATCAAGTTTAATAGCAGAAAGTAAATTCATTGGTGAGTGGCTATTAAAATTGTCTAATGTAATTGAGCACTTTGGAATTGAATTTGTGAATTTTCTACATGGAATATTGAGTTTTATGACATTAATAACATTTTTATATATGATAGTGCAAGCCATTTTAGTATCCAAAAATATGTTGTAACTTAAATAATTAGATGGTGGGATACCAAAAGTATCTCTAAGACAAAAGAAGCATTGGAACACTGTAAATTATTAATGAACTGAAAAATTTTATTGAACAGATTCCAGTTATAATCTGCTGCATATTTTTTTATTGAAATGGAAAATATTGTAGGGATATCTGTTAGTATATTTATCTGTTGCATTCATTAGACTCAGACTAAACAGTGTTTGGATTGGCATCTTATATACTGTTCTTAGATAATAGTGCTGAAAGAAAGTGATAGGAATTTCAGTAGTTTACTCATTAGTTTGGTAATTGATGAGAAAACTTTATACGAATGTATCATTTCAACTGTCAACTTTAATGTCAGTTCTGTAATGGTTTGAGATTGTTTTAGATAGTTGAAACAATCTCAAATCTATTGAATAGCCAACTTGGTTGTTGTATCTGGAATCATTGAATTTAAGATCTCTCTAGATCTTAAATTCCATGCTTAACTACTACTAGCTCCTTTTGCTGTGTTTTCTATTTCAGCATAACAATGCTTCAAGTATTTTGCACATTATACACAAGACTGTTTTTTGAAAATAAGAATGAAATACTCAAAACTTCCAAGAACGTCAGTCTATGAGGCGTTAAATATACTTGAAATTATTTTTAATTTACGAGCGCTTTCGACGTAAATAAGCACGTCGTCTTCAGGTAAAATTAAATTCGAATAAAGAATTCGAACCATACATTTAAATTTAAAACATTAACGATACTAGCCGTTTTTTGAACATACAGAAAAGAGATTTTAAATTTAAATATTTAGAATTAAACATTTAAAATTGGTGCGCATGCGTTTTAAAACAAAAACATCGATTGGAGTGGCTATTAATTATTATGTGAACGCGAAAAATTGGCGCACGTGCACCTTAACATGCATAACATGAGAGCCAATTAGATGTCTATTAAGAACAATTAAATTTTTAGAATTTAAATTAAAACACTTTGTAAATACGTATAAAATTTTTGGCACGCATGCGCCTTAACATAGACAGCATAGAAACCGATCGGAATAGATCCACAAGTGCAAGTTTATGTTAAAATTTAAATTTTAAATATTAAAGCGCGGGACATAATTTAAAATACATAACACACGTAAAAAGACGCACATAAAGGGGCCGACATGTATGTGCTTTGAATCATGTAGGAGGTGCGGGAAGAGAATGCAAAATTATTGTTGGTTTTTTAACCGCCTGAATAAATTAATCCAGACGTCCGGTAAATCGAGGGTAGGGGTGTTGCACGGGGAGAGCAGTTTTGTGAGGAGGGCCTCCCAAATGTATATCAAGTTCCCTTCATCACAGCGTTTGAGTATTTCCACTCGATTCCAAAGCGCTACGTGGTGGTGTTGTATCACCAATTTGGAAAGTTCCGTGTCACAATTGCCAAGTGCCACCGAACGTTGGTGTTCAGATATGCGAGCAGCCAGCATTCTCGTAGTCGCTCCTATATAATTGGTGCATAGTCCTGATATTGGATTCTGCAGGGGAACGGAGTATACACCAGATTTTTCCAGGGTGGAAATAGCATCC